AAAAAAAGTTTTAAGGCAAAAAAGTTGATCAATTTTTACTATAACCAAGTTCCTATTATAGAGGTTCCGCACTGTAGTATTTTTTGATTTCATAATCGGGATGCAATCACATGTATTTTACAGTGTGATTCCGATCGTCACGGTTTTTATATATGTTCAAAGCGGGTTAGTATACATCGATATCAAAACATTGGAATAAATCCCGAAATATATGTACAGTGGGTGATCAAAAATCACCCGACAGTTGAAAATTTTTAAAAAAATATTGTACCACAACGAGTGATCTAATTTGCACAAGCTTTTTTTTATTAGATTCGGGCTATCATCTGATATATTTTGTCCGGTTTTTTAACATAAAAAAATTTCATACAGTACAATTTAAATGTATATATATTTTTTCTCCCGAAATAAATCATGTTAAAATAACGCATCGTGCTCAATCTCACCTAATTATAAAAATTCAGACTTGAAGTTAGGGTCAGAGCTGGAGAGTAAAAAATATATTTATGGCAACTGTATAAAACATCTCCAGTGCCAAGATGTGTAATTTGTGAATTTGTGATTTCGGCAATGAAAATTATCAACAAAAAAGAAACCAATTACATTTTTCCTATATACAGCATGAATCATTTATCCTTTTTTAGTCTTGATTGTAATAATGAATTACGATCCCTATTGCATTGTTTTCGGTGAACATGCTTTTGCCATACAAAGGAATTATTTAAATTAATAACGAGCTATACCTAATTTGCATTTATTTGATTAGACAATGATGCAAAATTAAACTATTGATTGAGTGAATCAAATGCATTGAAACCTTGATGAATAAGATATTTCTATAAATTGGAGTGGAAATATTTGAAGGTGGTGGTAGTATTAAATTAAATACTTTATCATGAAATCAGTACTTTTTGTTATCGCGTTTTTCGCATTTTCTTTCTATAGTGTTGATTGTAAGACGGACTTCTTTTTTCCTGAACAACATGAAAAGAATTTTTTGATCGATTTATCAAATTCGTTTTTTCTTTTATCTCCTTAAATAGCGAAATATCTTCCCGTCGTGATCTGGCATGGCCGTCTTCAAACGTGTTGTGATTCGGATGTGGCAGGTCTTCAAGAATTCATTAACAATACTTTGCCGGGAATCTACACCCATTCGATTATGCTAGGTAAAGATGTGTATGAAGACGGAGTGTTATCTGTTTATGGCAACGCGAATGAGCAGGTAGATTGTATATGCAAACAATTAAAAGATAATGAAAATCTTCGTAATGGATTTAATGCTGTCGGACTTTCTCAGGTACGTTATATTGAGAGTGTACATTGTAACTTTTTACAATTGGAATTGTAATCTTATCAAATTTATCTTTTTTATTAACTCAAGGGCGGACTGCTTTTACGGTAAAATTAAATTCTTATGACCATAAATCCAAAAAGGATACTTTCATTATATCTCAGATTTTCCCATATTAATTATTTTGTTTTTTTTTTTTTTTTAATTTGAAGCGCGTATGTGGAACGATGTAACGATCCTCCTGTTCATAATCTGATTACCATGGGCTCCCCTCAAGCAGGTTTAAAAAAAATTTTTTTTTTTCCATATAAAACGTTTAAATTCTAATGAGTTAAAACTGAATTCTTTTTATAGGCGCCTCATTTATTACTCATTGTGACCTGACCAATGATTTATGTAAACAAGTATATTCTGGGGAGCGCGATGTTTTGTACTCGGATGAAGTTCGTTATAAATTTGTTTCAGCTCAATGGTTCAAAGATCCAGAGAATATTGACACATATTTAGAAAAGAATATCTTCTTACCGGATATTAATAACGAGCATATGAAAAAGAATGTGACATATGCTAATAATTTATCGTCTTTAAATAAATTTGTGTTGATTCGATTTACTGAGGATAGAACCATTGTACCTATAGATTCAGCGGTAATTACTAAAAATATATTTATTTGACTTCCCCCAATCAATTTAAAAATTGCCAACATTATATACGTATATTAAGTTTATTATTGTTTCAGTGGTTCTCGTTCTACGATAAGGATTACAACCTAATACCAATTAGAAAACAAAAAATGTACCTTGAAGATTGGATTGGATTAAAAAAGTTGGACGAATCAGGAAATTTAGTGTTCAAAGAAATTGTTGGAGATCATGTAAGTATTGGATAGTAAATATTTTAAATTACAAAATATAAGTTTGATCTAAATGATTTTTTTTTATCAATTTCTAGTTGGTATACACCTATGAAACTTTTAAAGAAGAAGTTCTTGATCCTTATTTGAGATAACAATAAACTGAAAATCAATCGTTACCATTTTTGTTTTCAATGTGTTGTTCCGCATGTACATTATGTCATGTTTACAATGCTCTAAAAAATGCCAGTATTTACGATGTAAACGTTGCAATTTTACGGGTATTAATAAGTTAAGATTTAAAATTTTGTGAATACTTTCTCAAAATTCGTATTATATGCGGTATCATGTCAATTTTTGATTCTGGGTTTCTGATATTTTTTATTTGTATGATTATTTTATCTGTAATGAACAACTCATGTAATAACGTAAGAAAAAAAAATATATATATATACATCAATAAACTATTATTTTACATCTTTAATGCTGTTAATATTTGGCTGTGTCACGATAGTAAAAATTCAATAAAAATCGAGATAGCAATCTGAACTAGAATTATCGCGACAAAATAAGTATATAATTGCAATTGCCAATATATTTTGCATTCGCCACCAATTAAACATCAAAAACGCGTATTTTTATTTAGTACAATTATACTTTTATTAAATTTTTACATTAACATAATGAATTATAATTTTTAATATGGTTAAATAACAAATGTCATTTATCAGTTAAGACCTTTAGCAAATGGAATTTTCTCAAAAGTAAGGTTTGTTATCTTATAATCTCATCATATTTTAACTTATAATTAAACTGAGATCAAGTTGAATTTGGGAAATAATAAGAAATGGATAACACAGAAAAGATGATAGATGTCTTGAAATCTGTCTCGCTGAATAATGTGGGGAAGAGAAATCAATTATTAAAAATATATTAAAAATGATGAAAAAAAGTAATGATGGTTTAAACCTATTTTGATATTCACAGTAACTTGCTTTGTACTTATTCTATTTTTTAGAAAATGAACTCTATATTTTTGAAAATAAATTTTTATATTTTTTTTCTTAATTTGGGTTGCTAAAGAGAAAGTTAATAAGAATGTGATACCTTTACTATTATTATGGAATTCGACTTCTAAATAATGTATAACGATCAATGTTGTCCAAATTAATTTCCTGAGATTGTTTTTCAAGCAAATTATGTTTGGGATCGCTGAACATTTGATTTTTAGTTTGCTGTTAAATGTGAAAATTAAAAAATTCAAGTCATTATTAAAAATAAATTTTATCCTAAAACTTGTTAATGCATAAATAAAAATCGGTTTACCCTCTGCTCTTTTTCCAATTTGACTTGTTCTTGAAGTTGGAGCGCTCGAGCCCGATCTTTTGCATCACGTAATTCCATGCTCTCATATCTTCGGTGGGCAAATACAAGAAGATTTATTCCAACCAAAAATTTGAGAGCCAGAAGTCTTTAAGCAAAAAATTTGATGAATCCTTTGATTAATGTTTCATAATTTAACATTATTATTTAATACAAAAAATAAATGAAGAAAACTTACACGACGAACACTATAATGCAACAAAGAATCGATGCACCGCGTGATTGGGTAGCAAAATTTGCAAAAGCTACTTTTGTCGATTCATTGTCTTCCTCCAATTCCTGGAATAAATCCGATATCATTGTTATCGTTTGTGATACTACTCGCATTGTCTACGAATTTAAATTAAAGCTTAATAAATAACTTTAAAATAAAGTACGATATCTATAAGTTATTTTCAATGCTTACTAAGCATGCAAGTGGTAAAGCCGCAAAACCAATTCGGCGGGATACCAAAGGTGATTGATCGACAAAAGTCTAATAAAATAATCTATATTAATAAACTTGGATGACAAATGTTTTCTTCTATAGATATTATGGATTTACCTTTGGTCTATAAATGAAGTTTGATCCATTGGGAGTTCTTGTAGGATTTCCAACTACAAGATCCCGAGAAAGAATATCAATATATCGATCATATATACTTGATCTAATTTGATTAAATTTTGTTATAAATGCGTGTTTCAACCAATCTACTATCAATTCTGACGCCATGACTATAATTACAGGTGTTAACAATGTCTCTAAGGTTGTCATTGCAGGGAATAGTGGAATGAATGACGTGGGTAAAATAGAAGATGAAGATGACGGTGATCCAGAAAGTTCTATCAAGTTACGAATAGCAATCACAGTCAAAAAGAGAACAAGGTTAAATCGTTCCACGATATCTAAAAAATGTAGATATATTATTAAATAGCTGTTTTTATCGAAGTATTATTAAAAAGCTGATTTTTTTTTTTAAAAAAAAGGACACACCAGCACAACTTAATTGAAATAAATTTTCTTTCTCAAATCTTTTGAAAACCGAACTTTTAATCTCAATGAACTGGTTTGACAATAACAATGTCAATAAAGCATTAGAGTAAGAATTAATTGCAACGTGAAGAGTTATTGACTGATAAAATAAAATTATTGTATGTGATACTATATATAGATTATATAAGTGATATTAAGGAATTAATTTCAACAATTTCAAAGTTCAAAACATTTTAAATCTTTAAAATAAGTATAAGGATACAAATATAAATAAATGCCAAAACAAAAAAGGTTATAGGTCTTAGATGTCCTCTAGAGCTAGAATCTGATTTTTTTGATCCAAAGGTAGAATTAGAAAAAAGTGAGTCGAGGATATCTCCACTAAACGAACAACAAAGCCGGTCGAGAATCTATTAGAAATCGAATGAGCGAAATATTATCAAAAATAAAAGAAAAAAAAAAACAATAAATAAATCATCATTTAAGAACTTACCTCAAGAACATTGAATATGACATATAACTTAATTGCAGATTGTCCACGTATTGAGTGATACATCTTTGATGCATCAACACTCTGTAATGAAACGTAAACGAGTAATATTAACAAGCCTTTAAGTAAATCGCACCATTGAGATGAATTAAGATATGCTGTTCTTTTAATAATATAGAAATCAAATTAATAGTTGGTTTTTTTTTTAAGAATCACTTTTTCAGAATTTCAAATAATTACCTTTTTTCTGGTGCTTTTCTGAAATTTGAAATGAAACGAACGATCAATGAATATATAGCAATAATGATGCGTAGTGGAAGAATGGTAAAAGTGTATAGAAATGAATCCAGGCAGATGAAAAAACCAAAAAACATGAGCTAAGAAGAATAAAAGATTTAAATTTTAAACAATTTGATTGTAACATAATTTTTCAATTTTCCCTTTTTTACAAGTTACCTTTTCAATCGCCCAAGGAATTCCCAAAAAATTTGTCACTCTTTCACGCTTTAATTCTTGTAAGGCATCGAAATCAGACGCTAATAATTCGTCTTTAAGATAATCCCACAGTGTAAAAGATGGGATAGCCGATGAGGCGTTCGAAGCAGACGATATAGATTCAGCATCTTGTTTTCCGGATTCTTTGGAAGACAATTTTTCTGGTGATTCAGTGTTGGTGTCTTTGGTATGATTGATGTGGTTAACATGATTGACAGTATCGTCGGAATTCATAGAAACGGGTTTATTTCAAGAAAATCTGGATTTTGAGTTCATTTAAACTATTCAAATAATGTATATTAAAAAAACGTCAGTTTTTATACGTTTATTCATCCACCAATAACATAATTAAGTGATCAGTGATCATTCAGTAAATGATTGGACAAATGGACTCTTTCTGTTGGAAAACCTGTTTCTCTTTCGATATTTTAGATGATCTGCGAAGTTCATTCTTAGGTATTTTTGCTGGTGATTGTCACCACTAAGCAAATTACATAATTCTCTGATCCTGACTTTGCTCACGTAAAATTTAATTTTGCTTATAATTAGTAAATAATATAAATAATATGGTCTTCTTTTGCTGCATCGCGCACTTGAATTTTCTTAACTCGAAATAATGATCATCGTAATAAGATCCAATTCTCGAAGATGCCCTGGAATAACTATATATGGGACTTCGTAATACCAGACACAAAAAAAAAACTACCGCCGATCCCTACAAAAACATATAAACCCTTGCCTTTTTTTCTTTTTAAATTTTCTTATGCTCTCTCTAAATAAATAATAATATTTAATTATTATTTTTTTTCCCATTCCCTATATTTCGCGGATTTAGTTAAGTTATAACTTCTGTCATTTGTTTTTATATGTTCTGTTGCCTAATTCTTAAAATCATTTCCGCGTAACGTGAGAGCTCGTGAGCATATTGTTCAAGTGTATTGAGGTAAGTGGAGGTTAACATGTATTATGCAGTACAATGATGCCAACTTTTGCTGCCGGGTGCTCTTGTTGAGCGCAATACATACTTGTATACTTGTGCGTATTGTCTTTCGCCAAAGTATTTTCTGAGTTGCACTCAGTATTCTCGCGCAGATTGCCTCGGCATTCTACCAGTGCCAAAGTGTTACACGGCTCTACCAAAGATTCCTGGAGTTTTCGCGTTTCTTCTATTTTTTAGGTAACCGAGCAAATTGAAATCAGTCAAACAAGGATCCAAATTTTAGAAAAGCGGGAAAATGGTTTAAAATTTTATTCTCTTTTATTCAAAATAATTTTTAAATCATATCTTTTATTCAAAATAATTTTTAAATCATATATACAATAAATAATTCAAATAAACATTGAAAATTATACAATATAAATAATTTCAAATTAATATCGAAAATTAATCATTATTTATAATTTCTGCTCATTTATGTATTAGAAAAAAAAAAAATCTTTTATAAAATCTTTATTCAATTTTGTATGTATATAGATTTATCCAATATGTTAATAAATAAATTATTAAAGCAAATTATTTAAAATAAATAAAAAAATAATCCATCATAAAAAAAATAATAATAATAATTAAACTTTAATTTCTGTCCAAAGCTCAAATCTTTTTCGATGAATGCCTAATTGTTTCTTAATTCCTTCAGGATCATTTAAATTGAAACATCCAACTGCAACTAATAATTTAAGTGACTTCAAATCTTTTTCCCAATTTATGAATTGTAATAAAATATTATTATTTATCCATTCACAATAAGATATATCCAAAAATAAAAGATTAATTAATCGAGAAATAATTCTTAATGCATATGGACCGGACTCAAAATCAGAACATCCTGCAATAGATAAATGTGTCAACAAAGGTAATGTTGACACTAATAAAGTTGCTAAAGGAATGATAGAAATATTTTTGGTAAATCCACAGTTCAAACGACGAAGATCGGGTAATTTAGTAATATAGTTTTTCATATTTTTTTCCTTTCTCCTTGTCGTCGTCTCATTATTTCTTGAAACTTTAAAAAGTTGAACAGAAAGAATATCCCTAACATCATCATCACTATATTCAATAAGATCCTCCCAATCTTCCACAATATTTTTCTCTATATCCTTTTCCTTAATGGTTTTCCAAAAATGATTTCTAAAACTTTTTATTGAGATATCGCTAAAAGCAATATCTAATTCTACATATTTAGAATCATTGGAAAACAAAGGAAGTAAATCATCTGTAAGAGGATCGTGAATGCTCAAGGAGGAAAGGGTATATTGTTTAAGATGTGTAGGAAGATTGGAAAAATATATATTTGTCTTATATGATCTGATGTTTAAGGTTATTGTATCTATGCAAATTGAAGTGAGTGTTGGAACTTGACATTTTGAATGATCTGCGATGTATGTGAGATGTTAATTCTGCATTTTATATACTGGTATTATTATAGAATTTTCGGAGTTATTAAAAACTTGGAAGGAAAATTCTCTCACCATCCCAAGCCCCCCGTTTTATTTTTCGTAAATTTAGATCAGCTTTATACCAAACACCTCGCCAACTTTTAGGTGGCATTGGACCAGAAACAAGTTGTCTCAGTGATTCATTTTCTCCTCTCATTCGTTGCCTAAAAACATCATATTCTCTCGCTAAATAATTACTTGCTGGCATAGGCAATGACGGAAATAACTCAAACGTTGAGTTTGGGATGTCATTAGATCGAGATTCGTGTCGAAGTTGATCAAGTAATGCGCTAACTTGTGTATTGGTATTATCATTGTGATCATTGTGATCATTGTGGTTACTTTTAAAGTTTGAATCAGAATTATGTCTTATTATTGCAGCAGAAATTGGGTTTCTAAAATTTCTTTTTTGTTTGGATTTTTTTTTCATATCAAAAGTAACAATCTTTTCTTTTAAAAACTCATTTATTATTTTTCATTACGGTAACACAAATAATTACAACAATGTTATCTACATAATCTATATAAAATTTTTAAAATTTAATTTTTTTTTTTTTTTTATATTTTAATTAATTGGTTTTGGAACCTCCACTTTCGGAACCTGAGGAATCATCGCCCTTATTTTCGGAATCACCATTTCCTTTATTTTCGGTCTTATTTTCGGATTCCCGCTAAAGTTTATAAAAAAAATAAATTAATATGGATATAATATAATAATAATAATAATAATATATAATAATTCTTAATTCTCATTTAGTCTAACCTTTTTGTATGCCATTTCAAATAATTTTAAGCTTGCAGTTTTCAATTTATTAATCTCGCTGGTTATTTCATCAGCTGGAACTGTTTCGGCTTGTGCTTTTGTAGTTAATTCTCGTAAAGTTTGAATATTAGATTTAATATTTTCAGCTTCTGTTTGATCTAACTGATCTTTGAAATCAGTCATGCTCTTTTCAATGTCACTAATTAATATTTCGGCACTATTACATGCCTCTATGGTCTCTTTCTTTTCACGATCTGCTTCAGAATGACGTTCAGCTTCGTGAATCATCTTTTCAATTTCATCTTTACTTAAACCAGATGAGGCAGCAAGAGTGACTTTTCAAAAATAATTAAATATTAATATAAATAAAAAAAAATAATTTGGAATATTTAGGAATAATTAAAATAATTGAATATAATTAAATGTAAATATCAATATATATTTTCACTAAAAATAAAATGGATTTATACTTACTGGATTGATCTTTTCCGGTTGCCTTATCTCGTGCTGTAACATTTACAATACCATCTGCATCTATGTCAAAAGCGACTTCGATTTGTGGAACACCTTTTGGAAGTGGCGGAATACCATCCAATTGGAAGTTTCCAAGCATCTTGTTATCTTTAACTAACTCTCTTTCACCTTGAAATACTTTAATTTCTACTTTTGTCTGACCATCAGCTGCTGTTGAGAAAACTTGAGATTTTTTTGTTGGAATAGTTGTATTTCGGTTGATAAGTCGTGCAAACACTCCTCCAAGGGTTTCGATTCCCAAAGACAAAGGTGTAACATCCAAAAGCAAAATGTCAGTAACTTCTCCAGCAAGAACACCACCCTACCAAATAATTATTTTTATGTAAAAATAATGTATGTATAACATTAGACAAAAAATCTATTAAAAATTATAATAATGAAAATAAATAATTAATTGTAAATAAACATTTACTTGAATTGATGCACCAATGGCTACAGCTTCATCCGGGTTAACACTTTTAGTGGGATCACGATTGAAAATTGATTTCACTGAATCCATGACTCGAGGCATACGAGTCATACCACCAACCAATATTACTTCATTAATTTCTTTCGCATCAATACTAGCATCCTTCAAAGCTAATTTACAGGGTTCAATTGTTTTATCAACAAGGCTCTTTGTTAAAGTTTCGAAAGTGGACCGTGACAATTTCATATTAATGTGTTTAGGTCCAGTTGCGTCGGCAGTAATAAATGGAAGATTTATATCCGTCTAAAGAAGTACAATTAAAAATACATGAATATACATCAACATTAAGTTGAATCGAGTGACTTTTCATGATCATACCTGAACAGTGGATGATAATTCGATTTTGGCTTTCTCGGAGGCTTCACGGATACGTTGAATTGCCATACGATCTTTTGATAGATCAATTCCTTCCTATTAAGGAAAGAAAATAAAAGAAGATATTATAACAAATTCTCAGATATAAAACCAAGGAATTATTATAATGAGTAAAAATATTTACATTTTTTTTGAATTGTTCGACCAAATATCTAACCAAAGTGGTATCAAAATCTTCACCACCCAAATGAGTATTTCCGTTTGTTGATTTAACTTCAAATACTCCTTTTTGTATTTCTAAAATACTTATATCGAACGTTCCACCACCTAAATCATAAACTGCAATGATTTTATCACCAGCTTTATCCAAACCATAAGCAAGTGCTGCCGCAGTAGGTTCATTTATAACCCGTAATACGTTAAGCCCGGAAATTTGTCCTGCGGCCTTTGTGGCCTGACGTTGAGAATCATTGAAATATGCAGGCACGGTAATAACTTTAAAAATTAAAAGAGAGAACCATTTTAGTAAACTTTATCTTATTATTAATTAAAATTAAATTATATAAACATATAATGATAAAGTATAAATACCTGCATTTTTCACCGACTTCCCCAAATAGGACTCTATAGTAAAGTAACAATAATAATGAATTAAGGAATATATCGAAAATAAACCAAAAAAAAAAAAAAACTTTCATAAAAATAAATATTTACCTGCTGTTTCTTTCATTTTTCCTACCACAAATCCTCCAATTTGAGCAGGACTGTATTTTTTCCCACGTGATTCCAGCCACGCATCACCATTTGAATGTTCAACTATTTTATATGGAACCTGACCGATGTCATTTTTAACTTCGGAATCGCTGAATTTTCGACCGATCAATCGCTTTGTAGCGAAAAATGTATTTTCTGGATTAACCACGGCCTACACACATAAAAAAGAAAAAAAATGGATTCACGTTAGTCAAAATTTATAATAAGCAAATATGATAACTTACTAATTAAAAAAAAGATAATTATTGTGAAATATAATAATGTCAATCGATTCGTATATACCTGACGTTTTGCGGGTAATCCAACTAATAATTCACCTTCTTTCGTGAAAGCAACCACTGAGGGGGTTGTACGACCACCCTCGGAATTTTCAAGAACGCGAGGATTTTTTCCCTCCATAATCGCTACACAGCTATTGGTTGTCCCTAGATCTATACCGATCACATTTCCTTGAACTTTAGTATTACCTTCAGCTGGATTGGCATAACTGACATAAAAGAAAGAAATGAAAAAAAAGGAAGGAAAAGAAAAAAAGGAAAAGTTAAAACAGTCTACAGATATAATATACGTCAGAAATAAAAATTATTCTTTTAGGTACAAACTTATTTGCACGAGAAGTCAAACGTTCTGAGACACGAGGCAAGAGCTATAAATAAATTTCGAGTTTGAGGATATGAGGTTATAGAATTACAAATGGTTATGGGAAAACTTGCTTATATGTTATACCATTTTACGCCCTAGTCTACGTGTCAAAACATGAAGCCCATTACGTTCGATTCTTGAGCAAAACATTCTCACAAATATTCAAAGGACACTTAGGACACTTGCAGAACTTAAGAATGCAGAAGCAAAGAAAAAATACACGTAAAAAAAAAGAATTTTTTTTTGTCCGATCACATTTGATAATCTACGATTTGGTGTTTGGTGGCGCAATTTTTTTTTTTTTGCAATCTTGATTTTTTTGTTGATGTGTCGATGACGTACTAAAACTTAATAAAAAAAAAAAAAACTTATAAATTATGTAAAATATAAAAATAGCAATCACAAACATTTGAATATTTGCTTTAAAAATCTTTTTTTTTTAGCACAAGTTAACTACAGGTTAGACAATAAAACAATACAGGTCAGACGATGATGATTGTTACTACTTTAATGCTTTAATGCAGTGAATGCATTGGTTATAAAAAAATTAAAAATGATACAAGTAAACAATCCCAAGATGTCATAAAAATTAAGATTTTTTCTGATAAAGGAAATAAAAAGAAATCAAAGGGAAATTAAAGCGAAATCAAGGGAGAAAAAAAAAAAGAGCGAAATAAATTGGTCACAGTCCATTATTTTCTTTGTTATTTATCATAATGATTCACACAACACAACTAGATTTAAAATTTATCGGGAAAAAATCGATTCGTTTTTTTTTGATTAATTTCTTAGATAAGAAATTTCTTATTTTTTTCGACCCCTGAAATTTCTGAAATTGTCACACAAGATAACAACAGTATTTATAATCCAATAATTTTTTTTTTCTTTAATATCTTATATTATTATACAACCTTTTAAAAACCGTTGACGTCTCTCTAACTTCAGACTATTGACTGGAAAGATGAATGGGCTTCAAAACCAAAATATAATATATATGGAAAAACTATGTCAAGGTTATAGAGCAGTCACCTTTTTTGCTATATAGCAATACGCGTGTTGCTCAAAATTGGTTACATTTCTTTGTATCTCGTCGGTGGACAGAATTATATTCCCCAAAAACTCAAGAACAGCGAGCCAATGCCGAGAAACTATTGAATATTGCCTTTCCAACATTCTCCGAGACCTTAACTACGCGCTCAAACGGGACAGTAGGTCTAACTAGTCCTTTGGGTGTAAAAATACGAACTCCAGTAGAATCAACCCTTTATTGCCGGTTGTTATTGGATAACTCAGCTTCTCCATATGCTCAAATGTTCGCTGCATCAAGGTTAAAGAGTCTTGTCTTGGATCATTTTTCTACCTTCTCCATGACAGAAAAAATAGAACTGAGTACGAGTTTTTACGCATAAACGAATTTTTATGTTATGTCCTTTTAACCTGCGTATAATTATGAAAAATAAGCGCGTTTTTTGTTTTTTTTTGTTCGATTTTGGTCATTTCTGTCAATGTTTTACATTGATACATTTTTTTTTTTAAAAAAAAAAACAAAATCTTAAAGGAAATTATGTGTTGACATATATGGCGCATCATCCGGACTTTCAGCCATTTGTCTTATCTTCTCTTTCACAACTTTTTGCTACTATCACGAAAGTTGGATGGTTTGAAGGCGAAGAATTTAAAAATGTAACAAATGATTTGTCAAATTTTATTCAGGTAATTAATGGTTGTTGCAATAATATCATAATTAATATAAGAATAAGATAATAATAACATAACAATAAGATAAGAATAAGATTATAATAACATAATAATAACATAATAATAAAAATAATAATAAAAAATAATAATAATAAAAATATAAAAAATGAACGGTCTGCTATTATAATCAAAATGAAGTCTCTATTTTTCATTTTCATAAGAGAGAAAGTGGAACTTTTTTTATCTATAACTTTTTCTCTTTGCATTTAGTCCACAGCGCATCATGTAATTGTAGGTCTACAAATCCTTGCAATTGTAGTCTCAGAGATGAATCAACCATCAACGAGAAATTTGGCGAGACAAAGAAAAACTGGTAGAATTTAAATTTAGATCAATTAATTAATTAATTAATTAATTTTTTAAATATAATTATTAAATATATCGAATATATATTTAGATGATTATTAAAATTTTTAATATTTTTGTAAATTTTTTCATTTTATTTAAAAATAATAAAGCCATCGGATTTAGAGACACAGCATTATTGGACATTTTTAGAATGGGTTTATTAGTTTTACGTCAATTATTGAATGGAGAAATCATGTTTAATAGCGGTATATTTATTATTTTCTTTTATTTAATAATAAAAGATTATTTTCAAAAATATGAAAAATTATAATATTTCTTACGATGATAATAATAATAATAATAATAATAATAATAATAATAATTATAAATAATAATTATATAATTCATAATGCATAATTTATTTATATATCAAAATAATAATATTTGTAAACAGAACTTCAAGAACACAAGACAAAAGAATATTGTTTAATTTCGTTAAAAAATTGTCTGGCGTTTGATTTCATTGGTACAACTCCCGATGAATCTAGTGAAGATGTAGGAAGCATTCAAGTGAGTTAAATGATTTAAATGTTAATATTATAATCATAATAATAATAATAATAATATTATTATTATTGTTAAAGGTAACGTCATCCTGGCGTTCGACAGTCGAAGATCAATCATTTCTTCGAACCTTCTTTGAGGCATATAAACGATTTCAACCACCTCATTCAAGTCAAGTATGTTAATAATAAATAAAAATTTATTTTTATTGATAATATTTAACTATAATATAAATTTAATATATAAAATATTATGTAATGTAATATATTGCTTAAAATAGGTTATGGAAGTACTTGTTCAAGTAGCTTCTATACGTAGATCCCTCTTCAATGATGAAGAACGTTCAAAATTTTTACATGGTTTAATGCAAGGAATTAGTGAAATTTTAATTGGATCTATAGGTTTATCGGATTTAAATAATTATCATGAGTTTTGCCGCCTTTTATCTCGATTCAGATCTACATATCAATGGGGTGAACTTGCTGATAAACCAAGATATAATGAATGGATTGATTTGGTTGCTGAATTCTCTATTAAGGGATTCGATAATTGGCAGGTCAAAAAAAATTATTATTTATAAATATTATTAAAAAATATTATACATTCAATTTTTAAAAGTTACTTTTATAATTTAATAAATAATTTATTCCATTCATTTATTATTATTATTTTAGTTGGTGCCACACAGTGTACAATATTTGCTTACCTTTTGGTCAAAAATGCTTTCTTCAGGTAGAAATACGCGTTCTAGCTCATCGAAAAAACTTGAATTAATTGCTTCTAGGGTAATTTTTATAAATTTGGAAATATGAAAATCTTTGATTATCAAAATTGATTTATTTGTTACTCATATTTATAATATTTATAATATTTATAATAATATTTCTAATATTTATAATAATATTTATAATATTTATTATAAAATTTATAATATTTATTATAATATTTCTAATATTTATTATAAAATTTATAATATTTATTATAATATTTCTAATATTTATTATAATATTCCTAATATTTATTATAATATTTCTAATATTTATTATAATATTTATAATATTTATAATAATATTTCTAATATTTATTATAATATTTATAATATTTATTATAATATTTCTAATATTTATTATAATATTTATAATATTTATTATAATATTTATAATATTTATTATAATATTTAATTAGTTAACTCAAACTTTTATTACTTCAAGAATTGCATCTGTAGAGTCAATTATTGAAGGTGCAATTGATGGTTAGTTTTAATTCAAGTTATAAATTTTAATAAATTTCAATATATTAACATTTAATAATTTTCAATAATTCTATTCCTTCTTTTTTTTTATTGATAGATCCATTGGAAAGTGAAGAAACTCTCATTGAAGTTCTCGAAATGTTTGCAACTATTGCTCGATGTAATTATGAAGAATCCAGTCAAGCTATCTCGAATGCATTTAATCCAATTGCACAACAATATCAGGTGAAAATTCTTAATAAATTCAATAATATTTTCTTTATATTTTGCTTCCTACCATTAATAATATTAATATATTTAGGTATTACTGCAACAAGTAAACGCTGGAATGATTAACGATTATTTACCGATCTTGGATGTAATCGAAAGTAAGTTTAATAAATAGATTTGTTGGTTTTGTTTTTTAATAATAATAATTTTTTTTTTCTCTCATTATTGATTAATATTCTTGTTGTCATCTTTAACAGCCAAATTTGCTTGGTTAGTATACATGATAGGAAGTCTTATTGGCGGTAGACAGGTAATCAATAATTATATTAATAATTCTTTATTAACACTATTATCAGTCAATATAAATAAAAAAATAATAATAATTTGAATAATTTCCATTTTTTTTTTCAGGCTTACATGAGTACGGAAGAGCAAGATATAATTGATGGGGAATTAACATGCAAAGTAATAAACTTAATGAATGTTAATAAGTCATGGAACGATCCGGTATGAAATATATAATAAATAATTTTACCTTTTTACTGTATATTACATCATTTGAAATTAAACTTATAAATTTCTTTTTATTAAATTTTATATATATATATATATTATATATAGCGTGGAAGTAGTAACGGCTGTGAAAAATTAGAATTAGCATTTATAGATTTCTTTCAACAGTCTAGAAGTTACATTGGTGAAAGTAATCAAAGGTCTTCTAAAGTATATAGCAAATTATCTGAACAACTCGGAATTAATGATCAATCCATGGTTGGTTTTATAAATTTATATTTATTTGGTTTGATTAGGTTTTGTATAAATAAATTATTAATAATATTTATTAATAATATTTATTTTAATTTATTAGCTTTTGGATTTCGCTGTCACAAAAATGTAAAAATTAAAAGAATTGGATTAATAATAAATTAAAAATATCGATTAAAAAAATATTAATTAAAATTATTAATTAAAATTATTTAATTCAATAGTGGGACAAATCTTAAATTATGGGGTCAGAATCAAAATATTATTCAACGAACAGTTACTTTATTTAATGATTTGGCTGGAGGGTAAGAAAATTATATGTGAATTATATTTGTTAAATTACATTTACTGAATTATATTTATTAAATTACATTTTGCTGAATTATATTTTATTAGATATAATTCCGGTAGATTACTTCGGAAAATACCAACCACCCAATTTATTATTCAAAATCATACATCTAAAGATTTTCCTTTCCTTGATGTACCCAATAATTTACGAACTCGTATGATATATTATTCAGCATTATCTAGAATATTATTATCGGATGATAATGTTGAAAGAGATTTTGAGGAATTTATTAAACCTTGGGATATGACTTTGACCGAACTTAATTCTTTAAATTCTTTACAAGCTTTTCGACAACCTGCTGTTAAAGTAATGAATTTATTTATTTATTTTTCACTTATTTTATTAATCATTTAATATTAAATATTCTTCATTTATTTACTCATTGATTTATTTATTTATTTATTTATTTATTATTTATTTTTAATTAATTTGAATATTTTTTATTTTTATATAATAGGCATCTTTATTAGGAATATTCAGAGATTTAAGAGGATTTCTTTCTGCCATTAACAATCGAAAAGCTTTTTTAATGTTTTTTGAATGGTTTTATCCTAATTATATGCCAACCCTTTGTCACGCTTTAGAAGCCTGGTTAGATGACCCATTAGCTATTGCTATTCTCAAATTCTTTATGGAATTCGTTTATAATCGTGGACAAAGATTAAGTTTTGATATCTCTTCTCCTAACGGTATATTATTATTCCGTGAAACGAGGTGAGTTTTTATATAATTAGTTATTCTATTTTATTTTATTACAATTTTATTATTGTTATATTTATTTGTTTATTCATTTTATAATAGTAAGGTGATCTCAACTTATGGTAAGTTATAAAGAAATATTTAAATTTCGAATTAAAAAGATTTCTCATCAAATCATTACTATTTTATTATTATTATTATTATTATTATTATTATTACGTTCTTTAGGTCAACAAGTTAATCCACACCTTTTGATCAGAAATGATATATATGCTGAAAAGTAAGTTATTAATATTAAAATATATATATATATGTATATATTACATATAAGTAATATAATAAAATTTATTTTGAATACTCTAAATAGGTACAAAGGAATTTCGATCTGCTTTAATATCTTGGCAAGATCTTTTTCTGGTCGCTACGTTAATTTTGGAGTTTTTCAATTATATGGAGATAAGGCTCTTGAAATAGCTTTAAATGTATCATTCGAAATGATGCTTAGTATAGATCTAAAAGATCTCCTCGTAAGTTTACTTCTACTATCAATATGTTATCAAATATATACTATCAATACCATCTTTTATCATCCCTCCTGTAAAATAATATTAATATATTAAATATTATTTAGACATACCCAAAGCTTGCAAATTCATTTTATGCTTGGTTGGATACATTCTCAAATGAACATATGATGGTTCTTCCAGATATGGACTCAAGATCTTTTCTATATATAATGCAAGCTCTCTCCGAAGGAATTTTATCGCTTGATATCCTTAATTATCTTTTTTTTTTTTTTTTAATCTTGATTTTTTTATCTTTTTTGTTACCCTTAATCATATTTAAAAATTTAACATGGAGCTCCATGTTCATCAGCATGTACTGCTTTAGATCATATATTTTCCTTTGTTATCCAACAATCCGCCAAACAAAAATCTAAACGACATTGGATTCTCACATACTTAAATGAATTTCCTCGAGTGTTGCCTTATTTATTTACCGCAAATTTTAATGTAGTTTTATTCGAAGATAGACAAAATAATTGGTCATTATCTCGTCCTTTATTATGTCTAATCTTATTGAATCAAGAAGTAAGTGATTGTTATCATTAAAAATTATCATCATTAAAATTATTGTACCTAAAAATCTTAATTGCATTTTTCTATTACCTTTATATTATAATTTAGTATTTTAATGAATATGTTGAGAATCTGATACAATATCAATTACCTGAACGAAGAGAAGGCTTGCAAAAGGTCATCATGATCATTATTATCATTATTGTTATTATTTTTATTTTGATAAATTTATTTATTCAAAAAATGTTAAAATACTATTTTACAACTTATACTTTTATAGGCTCTTAAAACTCTTATGGATGATGTAGATTTTAATTTAAGTGCTAAAACTCGTGATCGTTTTACGCAGAATCTTAATACTTTCAGGCGAGAATTAACTAATGAAAATATCATATTGATCCCTCCTCCAATGGATTATTCTCAATTAATTATGTGATATTTTTTAATTTTTTATTATTATTTTTAATTTGTTTTTTTTATTTTATTTTTTTTTTTGTTTAAAGATTTCTTTTTAGATTTCTTTTAGATTTTGTTATTACTACTATTTGTTCGTTTTTTGCTTTTTTTTTTTTTTTGTTTTTGTTTAATTTGTTTGCAAAATATTATTGTTATTATCATTGCATCATTTTAAAAATGTTATCATCATTTACTACTGCTATATATATTTGACAATAGTTTATTATATATATATTTCGACTATTAGAGAGAAGGTAACAATCCTTATTTTTTTTTATTATTATTTAGAGATTATTTTTTTTTGTGTTTTTGCACATTTTATATCGATTTTATGGTTACATTTTATTAATTAAAATGATTTTACTTATATCTATGTATACATATTTATAAAAAATAACACATTTATTTATGAACTTCTTTAATGAAGTTACAATTTATTTTTTAACAGTATTTATTTATTAATTAATCATTCTTTAGATACAGGACGGAAAGGTTTGTGTAAATTTTGCCTGTTTTTTTTTCATACTTTTTTTGATTTTTTTTTTTTAAAAAAAAAATCTATAATTTATTCAATGGTTAATTCAATGATTTTCTATTATATTTAATGAAACTAATTTTTTTAGAATTTTTTTCTTATAGTAAACATCTTGATAATCTAATATCTATTGACATTAGATTAAAAAAAATATCTCTATATCTATATAAACAAGAACTTGCTTACAGTTATTATTTACAGATTTATTATAATTTTAGGCAAAAGAAAGAAATAAATAAAGAATAAAATTTTTTAGTATCTGAAGATCTGTTAATTAATGATGACGGAAGCAATCAAAACGCGCTATATTTTAAAAATTTATTTTTATTGTTTACACTTGTGTCACCCGAAATTGTATAATTACATTAAACTACATGCAGTATCGAATATTGATTCAACTTACCTGTTAAATGCAAATTCGCATGCAACACTAGTTTAGTTACCAGAAAATGTCCGATATTTACACCGTTTCACAACTACTTTTCTTGGATTCATTCACTTGTAGTAAAATATTTTCCGGGAAAAAACTTATTGGAACCTTCGAAATAATCAAATCTGACGATATATTTCCAATTGGTACAATTATTTTTAATGACACCACAGGAAGACTAGCTTGTCATTTCCTCGAATTTCAACCACGGTGGATATCTGGTACTGTCCTTCTAACAAAATGGAATTACTTGTTGAACAAAACAACAGGTAATCGAATTTCTTCAAATTATCTTGAAGTTCAAGAAGTTCAAGAAGTTCAAGAATTGAGAACAAACTCTTCATTGGAATATTTTCCACCCCAAACTTCAAATAAATATTTAATCGGGAAAGTTCTTATTAAAAGTGTACTTCAATATTCAAATGATAAGCCAGTTGGTTGTTTATTAATGCTCATAGATGATCAGACTCACGTTCACATTTTGTTCTCAGGGAAAGAAATGATTGAGCGGTATGTTATGATTATAGTTGGAAAAACCTACCTTCTAACCGATTTAAACATGACCAATCAAATCTCATCTATATTTCCTGTTTTTGAATTCAATCCAACCTTTTCCAATTCTTTTCCTATTAACGATAAACATTCATTTGATTATTTAAACCCATCTAATTTATTTAATAATATCTCAATTCAATCACATTCAACAAATATCATAGAATGTTCTCCTATTCCATTTTTCACTTACAAGGGCACAATAACTTGTATTATAGATAATGTTTTAGGTGTATTCATTTTAGACTCTCAATATATATTACATTTGGGTCGATATCCTTATTATAATTATTTAATATTACCGTATCGAGTGGGAATGACACTATTGTTACATAACGTACACGCGGTTTCAATGAAAATGGATCATGATATATGGAAATTATCAGCTCGTAAACATTGTCCAAGATTAGAAGATATTAAAATTATTTTTGTGGCATGTTTCTGTAGTACTATACAAATCTGTGAATTTCCTAGCAATAAATTCTGTCATTATTCAATTACTCCACGGGTGATTAGTAAATTTTCGTTATTTCATGTTGATGATTCATTAACATTATTAGATTTGATTTGGATTCAAAAAGTTTATTATGAAATATTAGAAAAATTTCCTGGTGAATTTGATGATTCAACTCTCTTGGGTAATCCTCTAGGAGATTATTCCTCTGGACGATCTTCTTTATTATCACAATTATTTCAAAGATATCGTATATCTGATCAATATGATCAATGGCAAGAATGGCCATTAGAATTTTTCAATCATCGTTTTGGTTGCAGAACGTGCCAATCGAGTGACATTAACAAAATTAAGTTTATAACATTTTCGAACTTTTCAAAAATTATTGAAAAAATCGAAAATCAATCTACAACGAAGGTCATAACACAATCTGAAGCTGAGATGAAATTCATTCAATTAATAGGAATATTAGAGGGAAATTCGAATGGAATGCTTCAACTTAGAGATCACACAGGACAAATTCAAGCAATTAATATCTCATCAGTCCAAAAGATACAGACTTATCATTTAAATAATATTTGGTTAGTTCCTGAATATGAAATAGTTTTAGAAAATCATCAAAAACCTTATATTCGATTTGAAATTGATAAATGTTTTTGTTTTTATGTAAAGCCTTACCCTTTTCTTAGTGAATTAAAAAGTTTCATTTTTCGCGTTTCACATATTTACCCAACAAAAGTGGATTGTCCTCCTGAACTTGAATTTCCAAATTTAAGCTTTAAGATGCGTATTAATATTTTTCCCGTATTGGAGATTGATAATGGAACGCATAATGAATTACCAGAAAAAAATACTTATGTTCATCTTTCAGGTGATTTTATAAGATTTTTACCAGCAATTCACGTTGGATCAACTTATGAGATGACTTATAATAGGAATCCGGAATTTTGGTTGAAAAATTTTGATAACGCTAGAATTAAAAGTTTGCAAATAGAAGTCAATAAAAATTTTGAATATTCAACTTATAAAGATTTAATTGGTCATAAATTTGGGCCAACAATTCTTCAATTAAATGAAGAAAACAAACAAACGTACATAGCTCGTGAAATGAAATTTTTGGAATCGAATAAAATTCTAAATATCAGTGATCTGTTGTATGGCGATATGAAAGTTGGATCGATTATTTCAATACAAGGAGTTTTGGTCTCTAAAGAATTTCGACCTACCGTACATTTACCGAAATTCACAAGATCACCATCCTTTAGTAACCATCTCAAGGGAGATGCTGGTCACCGTGATACAAGTTTGCTATTAAGAATTCGCGACACAAAAACGAAGGATGTTATTGATACATATATTGTTTCTACGGCGAGATATATCATTCCATTGGGATTGATCCCTGGACAACCTCTTATATTAAGGAAAGTCATAGCAAAAGTTTCTAAGATAGGGATCGTATATTGTTGTTCATTACCAACTACGAATATCACTTTGGCGGGGATTCCAAATGATGATCGTAAAATGCATCACGAGCTAGACAATATAAAATTAATTGATTTATTTAATAGATCAGCACAGAAACTTTGTCGGATTCATTGCACGATAACCCAAATTTTCAATTTATCAGTAGAAATGATTTGTGAAACGTGCGAACAAACTTTTTATGATAATTCTTGCCCAAATGGATGTACACTATTCCCACCAAAATTTCATGTGGAAGGGAAATTCGAAGTTAGAGATGGTACATCCAAAGCAATAGTACTTATTAAAGATGAAGCTGGATTACAAGAATTATTACAATTAAAAGATGATCGCATCCAATTGATTCGTAAAGCTGCAGCTCAGAAGAAAATTGTTTATCATTTCAATTTCAATAAAAATTTTGATAAATTATTTAATCAAGTTCGTGCTAAGATTCCTATTTGCAGAGAAATTATTCTTTATTGTTGGCCAATAAAACGGCAATCTTTAAAAAATAATAATTTTTCCATTCAAACTTTTCATGGAATAGAATTGAAGGCGGCTGGCATAGAAGAAATTATACCCGAATCAGAAGCCTTCAATTATTTACAAAATTTTAAAAAGAAGTTGAACGTGTGAATATATTTAGTAAGACTTAGTAATGGTAAAGAAATGTCAGTGGCAGATTTTGTAGTCATACAAACCTCCTTTTTTTATTTTTGGCATTTATCATTTGTATATAAGTTCAAAGAATTTGTAAATAGAAATTATCCAAATTTTATTATTATTATTATTTAATAATAAATATTGAATCTTTAATAAAAAAAATAATATTTAATTATATCAGATATGTTGAAATCCATTTCGCCTAGATTATATTTTTAATTCTTATTACACGAAACGAATTTAAAAAAGAAAAAACAGGAATATATACATTCTGAATTAAAATCTACTGTTAGAATATTATTACCTTTTGATCTATTAGGAATTTTCAATCCACAAAAAATCGAATCCAAATAATCCAAATATATATTCAAATTTAAAAAAGTGATGATTTTGGATCGAATCGGTTCTTCTCTCTGTTCTTATGTTATATAAACAACATTCTCTTTTATTTACGGAATTATCAACAAATTTCTAGTTGAGGCCGAATACTCTACTTAGCATGTGTTTCTTTATTTATAGGAAGTTCGTATCTTTTTTTAACATAAAAAAATACATTATCAGTTAATCATAATATCGATAATCATCTGGATAACTATCTCTTCGATCATCACGACGATTATTATTGTTGTTGTTATTCGTATTATTATTATTATTTCGACGAGAATTTCTTCGATCTCTTTCTCTCGACCTATCCGTTCTTTCTTTAGGAGGGGATCTTTCCTTGTGTCGATCGTCCGATAAACTTCTTGAACGGCGAGAATCCACATCGCCACTTTTTTCTCTATTCGCTCTTCTCTGTTCACGTAAATAATTTCTTTGAGCCGCGAATAGTTCTTTCTTTAAGTATCTCGAGACTTCTTTTAAATGCATGAAATTACAAAATCCACCCCGAGTGCATTCCGCGTTTTCATTTTGACGACAACACGCTTCACGAAAATCTGTAACTGGTGAAAGCTCGGCATAAATGGGTCTCCCTTTATAATATTATTTTATCATAATTTTAAATTAATTATATTATAAATATATTTTATTATAAAATATTTTATTATGATATAACTTGATATTAAACTCACCTGAATAAAATCTTTGATTCAAATTATCAACCGCTTTTTGAGCGTCTTCTTCGTACCTAAACCTAGCATAAACGTTTCCGATCAAGTGATCTCCTACGTTATCGCATACATGCATTTCTTCAACTTCACCATATTTACAAAGTTCTGTAAAAAAGTCTTCATAGAAGTCATCAAAGTGTGCCTGAATTTGTTCCTCCGTCATATTACAGTTAGTGTCATGTGCGGGATTTTGGTAAATATTGGAACAGAGGATAGTTTGTGAAAAAGTCGGTTTGACATGTTTACGACTACAACGATCACCGTGTCGGCAAGCTCCAATTTTGAAATAAAAAGAACAGTTGACTCTGTAATAAATAAAAAATTGAGGTATAAATTAATTTTCAATATTTTATAGATAGATAGATATATATATATGTATTTCAACTTACTTGTCTTTCTCTGTACCATAAATCGATGCCAAATATTCCGCCATGGTAAAAAAGAAAAAAAAAGGTCACAAAAAAAAATGCTTATAAACCATTTTCCATTTGTAAATCATGATTGGACAGATATCTTTCCTAAATGATTTATGATTTGTTTGTGATCAGTCATTCTTGCAATTCTCGAAGGTTCTATTTATTTATGATACTGTTCTATTTTTTTTTTTGCTATAATTTATTCTCATATAGCGTTAGCATCTTGTTTAAGCAAGCACTTGTTTCTTTTTCTTACGCCGTAAATGACGTTAGATACTCTTCTTTCCAAGTTGCATAAGAATTTTCTTTTTTTACAAAAAAAATTTATCTTCTTTTGGTTAATCGGGTCACTGCTCGGATTTTGACATTTCCCAATGAGGAAACACCATAATTTTTACAAATCCATCCCATTTTTGTTTTACTCATTTATTTTCTGATCACCTGATAAATCCTCGTTACGTTATAAACTTTATCTCAAATAAAGAATTGTAATGGATTTATTCACATAATTCATTATTTTTTTTCTCATTTATCAAAGATAACAAAAATAAATAATATTAATAGTAAATAAATGGTAATTATTTAAATAAGTCTATGACTCAGGAGGTGAACGCAAATTCATTGAACGATTTTATCGAAAAAAGAAAAATCATTGAAATAATAAGATTGGATTAGAGAGATATAAGATACTAACTGACGCACGAGGTGGACGCAGCAAAGTAATATGATCCATTACTTTTCTTTGTTCCAGTAAAAAATCGATCATCAATTAACATATGTGCAACCAGTAACAGTAGCGACGATGCAATCTAGTTATTATTTAAAGAAAAGAATTTTTCATTTCTTCATTTCTTTCATTTCTTTATTAATATAATTTTATCAGTTATTATTTTTTCTATCGTACGCAAAATAAAATAAAAAAGAAAATTAATAAATTAATAATATTAATAATATTATATTATATTACACTTTGAACAATACATACTAAAAATACTTTGAATAAAAGATTACGTTATTTATAATAAATGTCATCATTTTCAGCGATATCCATCACCAACTCCTCCTTCTCTATCGCTGCAATAACATATAATGATAAATATGATTATCAAGAAATTGAAATTTTTAGTATTTTGTGTGGTAAGTTTTTATTTTATTTTTTTCTGGGATTTTTTTATCTATTCTATAATTAAATTCTTAAATTATTAATAATAGGATACGTTTCAGTGATTTGTTGGATATTTGCTCTATATCCGTACGTTATCCTAATTTGTTAATCAATTTCGTTCGTTCGTTTTAATAATTCGTTCACTCATTATTCATTCACAGACAAATAATTGCAAATTTTCGTCAAAAATCAGCTAAAGCATTAAGTTTAGCTTTGTTAACAAATTGGGCAATAGGCGATGCCGCAAATTTAATAGGATGTATATTAACAAATAAATTACCTTTTCAGGTAAATAAAATAAATAATCATAAATATTTATAAATAATTAAATAATATATTTATATATTATTATTATAAATCTTTTTAGTTATATCTCGCACTATATTTTTGTGGAATGGATTTTATATTATTTTTTCAATACTATTATTATGAATGGTTTTATCCCGAATTTATTTTAAAGAAGAAGATTAATGATAATAATAATGATGATAATAATAATAATGATAATAATAATAATGATGATGATATTAATGATGATGATAATGATAAGAATTATTATTATAATAATGATAAAAATGTTTCTAATATTTCTCAAATATCAACGAAATCATTTAAAGATTCGATAAAAGATAATTTACTAAAAAGTTATTCTACTTTTCATAATAATAATAATAATAATAGTAATAATTGGAGAAGATTGTAAGATCACATAAAATTATTATAATTATTATATTACGCGTATTTGATTTCTAATCATGTTTTGTTGAAATTAATTAATTTTATTTTATTTTATTTTTTTTAAAAAAAAAAATTATACAGACCAAAAACCACTCTAATGTTTAGCGTACTCTTATTCACATTTCATACATGTCATTCTGCTTCCATTACTAAATCTATTAATTATTATTATTCTTCTTCTTCTCTTAATTCTTCTCCTTCTTCTCTTAATTCTTCTCCTTTTCTTAATTCTTCTCCTCTTAATTCTTCTCCTTCATTTCCATTTTTTGTAGAAGCATTATTTGATGAAAACAATAAGAAATTAATTGGGATAGTCATGGGATACATGTGTGCTTTTTTATATGTGACTGGTAGATTACCACAAATATATAGAAATGTAAGAACTTTATATATTTTATATAATTTATAATGTAATTTTTACTTTTATATTGTTTAATCTTATTTTTTACCAATAATTAAAATTTTTTTTTTTAGTACAAAAGAAAATCCGTAAAAGGACTTTCGATGACAATGTTCATTTTAATAGTCTTGGGTAACATAACTTATTCACTTTCCATATTCACCAACCCTTTGGTTTTTTTTGATCTGACATTTATCCGAAGTGAAATACCTTATTTCATTAGTTCTTTGGGAACACTTACATTTGATACTGTGATCTTTTTACAATGGAAGTATTATTCTGTTAGAAGAGGAATTTATGATGAGGAAGGATTAGAAATTATTGTGTAGAAATGCGTAAATAAATAAATAATAAATAGTAAATAAATAATAAATAAATAATGAATAAATAATGAATAGAAAGAAAAAAAATAGATTAAAAGAATCAAATTTATTTACAAGGAATTTAATTTGTTCCTTTTATTTTCCAAAATAATTTAAATAATTTAAAGATGAAATAAATAAATGTAAAATAATAGAATAAATGTTAAATAAAAAAATAAATTAATATTTTCTTTTCTTTATGTTATTAACTAATAATCCATCATTAAGTATTTCTTCATAATCATTTATACGTTTTTCATTTCTTTCCAAAATAATCATATCATCATATTTCTCATTGCATACAATTTCACATTCATCAAATTCTTCACTACTAATACTATTACTTTCTAATTCATCACTACTACTACTACTACTATTATTATCTTTATCTTTATTAATATTAATATTATTAATATTATTATTATTAATATTATTATTATTAATATTATTATTATTAATATTATTATTATTATTATTATTATTGTTATTGTTATTGTTATTATTATTATTATTATCTTTAACATCTTCAATATCTTTAATAATAATATTATTATTATTGTTATCTTTACTACTTTTATTAATAAATTCAAAAATTTTTGTTATAATTGTTTCAATATTTTCTTCAATCTTTTGTTCCAATACAGTTAATTCATTAATTTCCTTCAATAAATGATTATTATTATATTTAACATATTCTGGCCAAACTACATCATCAAAATAGTTTGGTGGATCAATCCAGTATCCTAAAAAAAATTTTTAATTTTAATTTATTTTTTATAGTATTTTTTTAATTTAATTTTAATTTTTGATATTTACCTTCACGAGTAACATAACCTTTTCTTTCTTCCCTTCGTTTCTTTAAAACATCACGATCTGCACTAATAAATGATTTGATATCCAATTCTTTTATAACTTCAGCATCACAATATAATAAAAATCCATCTATGATAACAAAATGCCATTCATTATCATTATTATTATGATTGTTATTATCATTATCATTATCATTGTTATCATTATTATTATTATTGTTATTATTATTATCATGATTATCATGATTATTTTGATTGAGATAATCTAATAATTCTTTGTTTACTTTTGATGATAACTCTTTCACCGATAATCCTAATTCATTTTTATCATTTTCATCATTTTCTCGTTTATTATAAACATTTTCTTCCTTTGATTCAAATGATTCAAGAAATTGTCCTGTTCTATGAAGTTGATGAATAAAATCTTTAAATGCATCAAAATCTATGGCTTCAGGTGAATCCCAATTTGCTAAGTTGGTAATGGAATTAATTGGAATTTGTTCTTCTGGCTTTAAATAAGTTTGTAATTTAAAGTTTTTTTTTTTTAATAAGTTTTTATGAAAAGAGGAAAAAATAAATAAATAAAATTATATTTAAAAATTTTTAATAAAATTTGATTGAAACGATTTCATTAGATAAAAATATTAAATAATTTAATAATATATTATAATCTTGATTATTATTTTTTACCTTAAAAAAATCATCTTGATAAAGTATTGTACAATTAGGTAAAATTTTTTGAAGTAATCTTGCTAAAGTCTATAATAATAATATTTAATTTATTTAATTTTACAATAATAATAATAATGAAATTATTAAAATGAATAAATACTTACACTTTTACCTGAACAAGACGCTCCTCTATATAGAAAAGTAGAAAGAATATAATTAGATGATTCATTAAATGTTTATTTTAAGATGAATTTTTTAAAGCTCACCCAATACCGATTGTAACAACATTTTTATTTGATGACATTTTTATAATTTGTTAATTAATTTAAGATATGATTTGTTTTTAATTTAATTAATTTAATTTTAATTCGTTTTAATATCGAAAATTAATTGTTGAAGAATAGTGGGAAACATTATTCTATTTATTTGTTTATTTTTTTTCATTATCTATCAATTATCTAGAATAGTATTTATAGTAATAGAATTGTTTATCAGGAGTTATAAATATAAACTAATATAAACTGATACACAAAAACCTGATACCGACCCTATGTAATTTTGATACAGTTGTTTGATTGATTATCTAACATTACTAATCATTATTTATAATAATCTTTAATGAGGATAAAACGCTACATAACTAATTCTTTTTTCCAGCTGAATGTGATTTGAAAATGAAAAAATAGAATCATCATTTAATCACACACTTTTACTTAATATCTCACGGTCAGAGATGGAGTATGATCTATTCTATTATATTAAAATTTGATTTTCACGAAGATATTGTTTGTATACTACTTTGGTAAACTAAATATTTTGACTATTACGTAATAAATTACTATCTTTTTATTTTTCCATTTTGAGTTACCCAAAAAAGAGTTATAATGGTCCAATACAGGATAAATATATACAATAGCCACGAATATACATGTAAATCTTTACTTGGGACTTTCGCCCTATTGTAAATTAAAAGGTCTTGTATAACCTTGACCAAAAACATCTTGTTATTTCGGATTTTTTCGGATTAATTCGGTTTAGTCCGAAAGTCACATGACATATCGTTTATGATCTCGAATATAAGATCTATGATAAGTTTATTATTTACCATGCACCCACAGGCAGGGACATCACGAGACAATGTAGTATAAAAACCTATTGATTAAAGTTGTTCAGAATTGATTTTTAGTTTTAATATATCTTGATAAGCTCGTTAAGGGTAGGGGCAGCGCGGACGTAGTAAAAAATGTTCAATAATGGCCCACATGAATACACGTGATTAAAAATAAAGGTGAAACTTTATTATTTTTCATAAAAATAAAACATAATACTGTTATTATTGAAGAATATAACGTTATAATAATATTCCGGTCTCGTTTTTGGCATGAAACTATTCTTGATATGATATGAATCTTATTTACAATCCAATATTGGGGCACAAGATTATGCTTAACATGATGGGCGTACATGCTAAAATGTCGTACCTTCAATCAACATATCTTTTCGTTCTCAAGGTGTCGTTGGCTTTAAAACTTGGGAAAGACCATTTAACAAAAAGAGAATTAATGAAAAATATAGTATATCTCCCTGCTTTTCTTGAATATGATTAACATTCATATTTTCATAATAACAGATTAACATATGGTTAGAACTTATAAACACATATTAGGCACAAATAGTTATCAACGACTTAACCTAGAACAGTTATGTGCTGTGATATGATATAACATGATAGTCAATTCTGCTTCCAAGTCCACATAGTAATGTTAAGTAAAAGATGACCAACATTGAACATGATAGTCCATCAACGACTTAACCTAGAACAGTGGTATCCCTGTTCAAATTACCAAAAATTGTAATCTACAAAAATTATGCTATTTTTATTTTTATTACAAATATTTTTTTGGAGCGGAAATTGAGAAACTATCTGCAAGCACGCCAAAGGTCCTAATATATGTGCTGTGCTCCTTAGTTCTTAGTTCTAATTTTCTCCGGCGAAAGTTCGGAGCGTCCACTGTGTAGGAATTTTTATTTATCGGGTGTACGATAATATTACACGTGGGTGTGTTGGCAGATCATTATGAATATGGTCAAAAATTCCAAAAACGCGTTATTACGATTCCTTTGATATGCCCAAAAATAAAAATAATAACTTTAAAAACTTGCATGGTTTCGCTCATCTATGTTTTCTTCCTTCTCATGATACCCAAATATGGGAAGAGAATTTTGAATATAATAAAGATTCAAAGACTACTGACACAAAATTAGAAAGTAAGTCGTCGCTGGAAACTTTAATAACTAATAACGAAACAACTAATTCTACAATTAATTCAAAAGGAATTAGTGAAAAAAATATTTTATCAAAAAACGTATCACCAAAATATTTTATAGGACATTTTGTAAATATTACAACTTATAAAAATTATGGTATTAAAGCTACTTTATCACCTACTCCACCACCTCCATCTCATAACATTCATAATTGTTTACTTGAACATCCAATTTATTATGATCTCACATTACAAGATTATAATATACCAAATAATAATAAATGGACATTTAAATGGGTAGGATGGTGGAATGGAGATGCGGGATGGATGAGTTCGGATCCAAATTGTAATGTTAATGGTGAAAGAAGAAGAGATTATGATTCAGATGATAATAATAAAGATGATAATAAAACTGATAAAGGAAAACAAAAAGAATTTGAAATTATTTCAAGTGAAGGAGAACAATATATTTGGTTTCATACCAATCGATTAAAAGCTGATCAAGAAGCTCAAAAACATATTGAAAAATTCTTTCCGAAATTATTAAATGAGATTGATCAAGATGATTTGAATAATGCACTTATTTGTTTAGGTGAAATGAAAGTAGTTATAGAATGTGAATGCGATATTCAAGAAACTGATGAAGAAGAGGGAGGCGAAGAAGGAATATATGAGGAGGTTAATGAAGAAGATAATAATGAAGATAATAATTCAGAATTTCTTGATGATGATAATTGATGAGGAAAATGTTATGTGAGGAAATGATTTCTGATATATTATTATAATATTACATTGTAATCTTACTTATAACAATAAGGAATTTATGACAATGAAGAAAATAATGAGAAACAATGAATATAATATAAAAATATAAAAATATATAATATATAAAAATATATAATATATAAAAATATATAATATATAATTCAAGAAATAAATAATAATGGATTTTTTTTTTTATTAATTCACATAATATCATAAATCTTTTCTCTGACAGAATATACAACAGAATATAAACAATTTATCTACTATTTTATTACATTACTTCTTATTAATATTCTCATTTCCATTTCCATTATTTTTGCTATTTTTGTTATTTTCATTATTTTCATTATTTTCGTTCTGCACATTTTTATTATTAATACTATCGATCATTTTAAATTGATTTAATTGATTTCTTCCTCTCGCATTCGCCTCTAAAATCTCTCTAAGCTTTGGAATGCTAGCTAATCTTTCCATAAGTTTCAGTTTCTCTTCTTTTTTCTCTGATTCAATTCTACCACGTCTTGATTTCAAATATCTAGTTTTTCTAATTTCTTCTCTAACTTCTTCAGGTTTCTGAATTACTTTAAATTCTTGATTTAATGGAATGGTACCTCGTTTAATTAATAATTTTTGATGTTTAACACATTTTGGCCAAGTTAATCCTACTTTCGTTGGTACTTCTTTTAATTCTGGATTTTCCCAATATATAATTAAATTACTTGAAGCATCCCATTCATAACCTTTAGTATATACAACTTTATTTAAAGCATAACATAAACTACAAACACTTTTCTCTAATTGATCCATATCATCTTTCATACGTTCTTTACGTCTTAATTTAAGGTAATCAGCAGGTTTAGGATAATTGAGAAGTTTATCTCTTACTATATTGTTGGTGGCTATTACTGATGTATAAGAAGAAAATCCTGAAATTGCTAATATAGGTTTCCAAAGATCGCGACGGATTTTGTGAGGACGTTCATTGAAACTTTTAATTTGGGATTCCAAATATTTGGTCTATTTCAAAAATATAATAAATAAATTATTATTATTTTATTATTAATTATTCATATTTTATTACTTTATTATTCATTCATATTTATTACTTTATTATATTCATTCATTATTATATATTCATTATTATATTCATTATTATATTCATTATTATATTCATTATTATATTCATTATTATTATATTCATTATATTTATATTCATTATATTTACATTCATTATATCTATTGATAATTCTAAAACCTGATAAATTATTCAACTTCACAGACCTTTCAGAATTATTATTTATTTAAATATAAAAATCCTTTTTTCTAAATTATGATCAATTTAATCCTCTTAATACTCCCTTGAAATTTAATTAAAATTTGAAAATATTTAATTATCCTTTATTTCCTTCTTTCCATATAAAATAATAATACCGATATTGTACCTGTAAAGCTCTTCCAATAGTAAATATAACTTGTTTGGTGATAATATGTGAATAAAAAAAAAATTGGTCTAGCCGTCGTTTACAATTTCTATCAAGAAACGAGGTTTTACTTAACGGTGTATGTGGTAATTTTTTCAAAGAGATTTTATTCATCTTTTTTTTTTAATAATAACTGAACTGAACTGAACTAATCAAAAGATTATAAAGATTTAAATTTATTTATTTTATATTTTATATAAAATGGTTTATCAGCCAATCAAAATTCCCAAAAAAAGAAAATATAGGGTGTTAAAATTTGCTAACCACAAAAACTTTGCATATCTGTCTTGGACGTTTTTAACTCAAGATCTTCGACGTATAACTTCTTTCTTTGATATTACCACATGTCGAATCGATAAGGACATTGAAAGAAGTCTTTATTTAAAAATAATTGACTTCATGATTATATAAAAAATAGTTTGCAATCGGAATGGTTTTCAAAAGAAAAAGTTTATATTTAGAAGATCTTAAAAAAACACAAGTACAGTTATTGCAAAAAAAAAAAAACTTCAAATGATGATTCAAATAGCACAAATTGATTTTTTGAGGATTAGTTATTATTTGCTAAATACAGAAATTCTTTGAATTCATGACGAATTTGAACAGAAATCTGATGAAGTTATAAAAATTATTATTATTTTTGAAATTTTCAATTTAATTTTTTTAACAGTTGAATCAAAGTGATTATATTTGATATATTTGATATATCAAAAACAATTAAAAATAAATAAAGGTTAATAAAGGTTAATAAATGTGATAATGTTATTTGATAAATAAAACCACTTTAAATAATTATTTGAAGAAAATTTAATAAATTAAATTCAATATAATTCACGTGCCAGTTCAATGAAAAGGGTTACGCGAAAAAATCAACGCGCGACTTTTTATCGCGTGAACAAATTTTCATATTCATTATTCTATATTCGACTAATATTCTCCTAAAAATTATTTGGTTTATTTAGAATATTTAGCTGATTTAGCTTATTTGGAAAAATATGTTCATTGGAATAACAGGACCTCGTTTTGCTGGTAAAAATACAGTTGCCAAGTGGCTAGTTTCAGGACACGGGTTTACATTACTTTCTCTTCGAAAAGATAATTACTACGAGAACTATCATAACCATCATAGTCAACACCAAGGACTTGACGCGTTAGAATTTGAATCACCTGAAGAGCTTTTACAATATGTTACAAAAAAATATTCCGAAAATTTTGTAACATGTGATATTCGTTCTAGTTATATTTTGGAAGTTTATAGGAAACGCCCGTTTTTTTTGTTACTTGCAGTTGATGGTCCAATAACAATTCGATATCTACGTTGTATTGCTCGGTAGATATAATTATTTTAAGTTAATATATCTACTTTAATCTATTATTTTTATTATTATTTTTTTTTATTGTTTTATTATTTTTTATATTAATTTTATTTTAGTTGTCAAGAGGAAAATCATCCTGAACCACCATTAGAAGAATTTTTAATTGAAAATGATAGTCAACTTTTCAAAGCAGTCGCGCCAAGTAATGAATTTGCGGAATCATTTATAAGTAATCAAAGTGATAGTGATCAAGAAGAAGGAGGAAGAGAAAGAATTCAAAAAAATTCATCAAAATCTGAAAAAATGAATCAAATTAGAAAATTTGAACAAATTCCAGTTTATAATATAATGACTATGGCAGATCTTACTATAGTTAATTCATATTTAACATTTCAACCACTCTTTGTTTATCTTCATAAACTTGAAATCACAAATCCCGAGAGATTAAGACCATCTTGGGATACATATTTCATGCATTTATCGGATTTAGCAGCATTGAGATCGAATTGTATGAAACGTAGAGTAGGTTGTATTTTAGTAAAAGATTTTAGAGTAATTGCTACAGGTTATAATGGTACAGCAAGAGGATTAAAGAATTGTAATCAAGGTGGATGTGATCGTTGTAACGATGCAGTTCCCAGTGGAGCTGGATTAGATAAATGTCTTTGTTTACATGCAGAAGAAAACGCGTTATTAGAAGCCGGAAAAGAAAGAGTTGGTAAAGGATCTATTCTTTATTGCAACACGTAAGTAAAAAAAATATCTCTCTCTCTATATCAGAAAGAATTAATAGAATATTAAATTTATTAATAATCTAAACTTATATTGCATTTATTATAGATGTCCTTGCCTTGGTACGATGATTTATTTATAAATTTATATATTTTTTTTTTATTCGAAATTATGATGTTGAATTTTTTTTTTCTTTGACAGGATGTAGCGTCAAATTAATTCAAGTGGGCGTTGAAGAAGTTGTCTATAAAAAGTAAAGATACCCTTTACATTTTTGTCTAAAATTTGTCTTTTACGAAAAACGATTAACCAAATATTATATTATTCTTTTGTTTAAGTTCTTACAATATGGATGAAATAACAGCTCGACTTCTCAAAGAAGCAGGTATAAAGTTACGTCAGCATGCACCTCCGAACAGGAGATTACAACTGCAAAAGAATGAATAGTGTATATGTAATAACTAAATAGAGATTAATTAATTATTTGTTACTATACATGCGGAGTTATTAAAGTATAAAGTCTATTAGTTTTAATAAGATTGACGATAATATTATAAGTATATAGAAAAGTTTCAATAATAAAAGAAATAGTTAATTAAAATATATTAATCATGATTTCCCTTTTTTGTTACCAATTTTAACTTTATTAGAATCTCCAAATATATACTGTATTTATTACGTAATAGTGATGATCTGATTTTATTCTTTTTACATATATAGAAAATTTAACTCAATTCCAATTAAAAAATAAATATTTATGCATGGATATGTTGTGCCTCAGATCGATTCTTGACTCAGATTAAAACTGGCCAAAGTTAGGGTTAGGGTTAGAAGGATCTACATAGGCCAATTTTATAATTCTGGTCAATGGTTGACACTTGATCGCGATCTGAGGTACAACAGATACATATATAAATTTTCTGACAAACATTTAAATTAAACAATTTTATCATTATTTTTTTCAAAGAAAAATAATCTATTAATACTAGCTGATCAAAATTCGTTGTCTTTTAATACTTCAAAATAAATCCCCATATACAATCTAAACCCACCCACAGCTTTGAAGAATTCTACTAGTGTCGAGAAGAATTTATCTTTTCTTAAAAAAAAAGAATCGATAAAAAATAATAATAATTTTTTTCCTTTCTAGAATAAATGATTTATGCAAATTCGCTTCCTTTTCATGCAGTTAGCATATGAATCAGAAAACGTATTATATAATGTATTGGATGATTTTTGCAGACAATCTATTCAAATATAAATTTTTTCATTAATTCAAATCATTCGATTGTTGTTTTTAAAGAAACTAAAGATAAAACCGTGATGAGCAAAGATTTCGATTTTCAAAAAAATATTTATATAAGTTCTCTATCCTTTACTAAAATGACTTTTTATCCTTTCAATATTTTTAATCTATTGTTATTATTCATTATACTTTTTTTTCAGCATTATTATTATTTACAATCCCATCGTATAAATATCTGTCTTCTCGATAATTTTTCTGCAAAATATTTTTAAAAGTAAATTCAAAAAAATACTAAAATGTCTCTTGGAAATACTCTTGAAAATGGAAAAGGATATCTTATATTAACAAAACCCAATGCTGCTGATCCGGGACCTCTTGGTAAATAATTATTTTTCATCTTTATTATGATTATTGTCATCTTTTATCCGTCATTTTTATTAATTAATTTAATTTCATTATAAATTTATTAAAAATAGCTTTTTCAGCGTTTGCTTTGACTACATTTGTATTATCAATTCATTTGATTGGTTCTTCAAAGCTTACAGCTCCGAATATTGTTCTTGGAGCTGCTTTATTCTATGGTGGATTAATTCAAATTTTAGCCGGAATGTGGTATTTTTATTATGGAAATACTTTTGGTGCTACGGTTACTGCATCATATGGTGCTTTCTGGATATCTTATGGAATTATCAAGATTCCAGCATTCGGTGTTGAAGCTGCTTACGAAACTAAAGAAAATTTTGAAAATGCAATTGCTGTTTATCTCGCTGCTTGGACAATTTGTATGTATTTCCTACTTTTTAAATGATTTAATACTTTTAATGCTTTTTTTTTTTTAATTTATTATTTTATATTAATTATATATTTCATTCACGTGATATTAAAAAGATACCTTATTTTTAGTTATTGCTTCTCTCCGTACAACGGCAGCAATAGTTATTCTCCTTTTCTTTGCATTTATTCAATTATTACTTCTCACTATCGGTAATTTCATTCATTCGAATGGTTCAACCCATAATGATGTCATTGTAGCCACCGGTTACGTTGGTATCATTACTGCATTAATTGCTTGGT